TAAATCATGCCATCAGAAAAAATTATTTCGCGCCATTGATCAGTCCAGTGAATATGATCTACAGCAAACTTTATACGTGCTTCAATATTGGTGCGAGTTAACAGTGGCTTTTTCTTAATTTTTTTTTTAAACTTTAGGTGTTAGCAGCTGCCCAAAATTTGCCGAATCCGTCGAAGACAAATTCTTAAATTATTTTCAACTTTTAATTGGCTCGCAGACTTTAAGCTATTAGAGGCACTGCGAAGTAAAAGTAGTTTTTGAGCTGATGACATGGTTAATGGTCGGCCAGTGAATTCAAATAATAATGGTTAGTGTGACTGCGGCTAAACTTAATTCGCACTGGTTGACTGGAATTAAAATAATAATGGTTAGCGTGCACACATAAGTGACTGCAACTAAACCTAATTCGCACTGGTTGCCTGGAAAATATGCAAATATTGTACAAAAATCAAGAATGGAAAATATTTTAAAGAAATATGAACTGCACTGTTACTATTAAAGAATGCCGATCATCTTGTCCAAAATCCGAAGCAAAATAGTAATTTGAAAGTGAGTTTTCTTTTGAAATATTAATGCGGCTAAATTATTTCGGGCACTGTAGATAGTGAAATTGAAGAAAGTAGTATCGCACTAATTAGTCAAAATGACTGTGCGAACTATGTTATGGACGTGATCATCCAAATTCCGGAAGCGGCGAATGGACAAGCTCTTCATTAATTTTATAAACTATGACTTATTTTCAGTTTCACCATTTAATTTGTATGTAAATGGTCACCTTTTCCTTGGCATCTGAAGACGAAAGTGATATGGAGTGTGAAATTTGAATAAGTATATTTATAAATCGTCGTCCTCGTATAATGAGGGAACGACGTAATTGTTTTACATATTACGTGGTATAGGTTTCGTTTGACTAAACAATCAGCTTGGATGGTACTTGAACTGATTAGGAACGAAAATCGGCACAAAACTAAGAAGTAAGTAAACATTAAAGTACCTTCGATTACAAATTCTGTTATTTTTTGGTAAATATTGTAGAAACGGTGCGATGTCTCCCGAAGTAACGCTTTTACTAACACTGCGTTTCTTTGCAACTGGCTGCATGCAAAGAACTGGCGGTGACCTGTGTGGCGTTTCAAAAAGTTCTTCCTGTCGCGCAATAAGGAGAGTGTGTCACAACATTGCGTTGTTAAGACAACGCTCTATAAAATTCCCCTTGGAATTAGAAAGCCAAAGAGAAATTCAGAGACAATTTTATAAAATAGCAAAGTTTCCACGCGTGCTAGCGGCCATGGACTGCACACATGTAAAATTACTATCTCCAAGTGAGTACATTAAATAATTTCAACTAATGAGGATTATTTAACATGCGTGACTATTTAGGTGAGGATGAAGCGGAACTCTTCCGAAACCGAAAAAACTACTTTTCAATTAATGTGAAGTTTTGTGACAGAAAACTGAACATCATGGACATCGTAGCCCGTTGGCCAGGCTCGTCACATGACGCAATAATACTTACTAATTCAAGAATATTTAGCCGATTTGAAGCAGGGAATGCAATAGTCGTTGCCGACCGTGGCTACCCTCACAATCGGTGGATAATGACACCCTTGTTAAAAGTACAAACTCCGGCTGAGGCGTTATATAACGAATCGCAAATCAGAGCTCGTAATTGTGTTGAACGTCAATACGGTGTGTGGAAACGAAGATTTCCAGTTCTTGCGCTGGGAATACGAATGAATCTCAGGGAAGTGGAATGTATAATCGTTGCAACCGCCGTTTTACATAACATTTGCAGCTTAAACAACGATTGTGTCGCTCCAGCAGTCTGCGAAAATGAAATATATAATATTATCGATACAATTGTTGAAGTACCCATAATCTCAGCTACGGTTGCCAGACGTACTAATTTTATCAGTACAGTACTGATTTTTCAACTCTTGTACTGATTTTATTCATTCATTCAATCAGTACGCTGATGTCCTGATTTTTCAAAATTTGTACTGATTTGAACTGAATTTTCAATTAAAACAAAATTTTTAGGATTTTCTTAAGATTTTTATATAACGATGGAAGTTACTTAAACTGTACTCTAAAAAGTAATAAGAAAATAATTTAATTATAGTTGTTTCAGAAAATGTTTGATATGCCCAACAAAAAGATTAATCGTTTCATGGGCATATCGCCGAGGCGTCACGTACCAATTGTGATAATATGATGCGAGTATAAATTATTTAAAAATATAACTGACGTTTTTTGTCGAGGTTTGTTACATATCTCGAAAATAATTTTCAGTTTAATAACAAAAAAATTTAATAATTGAATGGCTTTTGCCTAAAACTTACAATTCTGTTTTTTTGAATTTACTGACATTATAAAATAGTTTTGCATACACGGCATAGAGTAAGATACTCTTTTTAGCGAATTCTTAGTCTTTAAAAGATTTTGCGTATTGGAAAAAATTAATTTCAGCAATGAGGAAGTATGGATGACGTCCGTAATAGTGGTACTTTTCCACAGTTTGGAAAAAATAGGAACTTTGTTTTTTTTCAATACCACACTCAAACCAAGCAACGGAGAGGATCTTAAGTATAAAGTTTATTTACTGGCGCAAAGAGAGAAACCAGCTTCTAATTATAATTTTTGGAAGTGAACTTCAAATTAATAGTAATTTTAAAAGGAAATGATTAGAATACTGAAAATGGAAATGATTACATTATTGCTATTCAAAAATGTCATAAATATGAAATAATTTATTGACTCCTGTGTAACACGAATGTTAAAATGAATAACACTTTTATTTTTTATGAACTATATTTAGTTTATATACCAAATACTGAGGTTATTCACACTTGCCTGGTTATCCGGTTATATTTGTTATTTAGTTTACAGCAACAAAATACACTACAGCATAATAATTTTTAACCGGATATCCCATGAAATGAACTTTTCTCTCAAAGTTTACACTGCTGGCAAATGTATATAAAGATTAAAATTTAAAAACTAATTAATACAACTAAAGTAAAATCTGTGGAAAATTAACAATAAAATTCTTTTTTCGCAAAATCTATAAAATGACCCTTTTATTTCTCAAAAAAAAACTGGGTAACAGTTAATCGTCGCCACGCTGTAAACATCTTTATAAAATTCAGGAACACATTTTAGTATTTATGTAAATACTGATAGGGCACATATGCTTGTAAATATATTTTATGTAATTATTCAAAACCATATTTACCTATTTGAAAGTCAGAAACACATTCTACTACTTATATACATATGTTAATACTGATAAGGCACATATATGAGTGGAAGAAGGACCTATCTCGGCAGCCATTTCGAAAATGCCCTATCTCAGAAAACTTTTCAAGAACGCCCTACTGCAGGATTTATTGAATAACGCCCTATTTAAGAATTTTATTGAAAGCATTGTATCCAAAAATTTGGTTGAAGAACGCCCTATCTCAGAATGCGGTCAGCTGCCGATTCAAAAACGCCCTATCTCAGCACATTTTCAATGTATTTTCGTTTAAGATGGGGCTTTTTAAGCCGAGTTCTGAGATATGACGTTCTTCAACCAAATTTTGAGATAGGATGTTTTCAATAAAATTCTGAAATAGGGCGTTCTTCAATAAAATTCTGCTGTTTTCTGAGATAGGTCGATCTTACACTCAGCCATCGATATTCAAAACAAAAACCAAATAAATTCAATATTGAAACTTCCTTGGATATTAAACAAAAAAACTCAAAAAATATTACCAATATTATAAACTTTTCATTCAGAATTTACAATTTTTGTATGCAGTTTTATGGCTTATTAAATTTTAGTGGAATAAGGCGCATGTTTGAAGTTTCTAAAAGACCCCGTTGATTTTTTATAATTTTTTTGGTGACGGGGATATGAACTTTCTTCTATATAAAAATTTACTTTAAGTTTGTAGTTTGTGGAATTTTTCTAATTTTGGCATAAAATCAGTTTATGAAATGAAATTAATGTATTAAATAAATGCATGAAATGAACAATACTTTTCTAAATAATTAATTAACATTAAACAAACTGAAAAAATAGTTAATACCGTTCAAAGTGATACAATTCTATTATTTTGAACATAGGGGTATGTAGTGTTAAAATTAAGTATTTTCAATTGTTTTGAATTGATCCGCAAGTATTCGCATTTCAAGGGCAGGCTTTTCAGATGCAAATAGTTTTTGTAGTTCGTGAACAGCGTGGCGACGAATAACTGTTATCCAGGTTTTTTTTTGAGAAATAAAAGGGCCATTTATAGATTTTTCGAAAAAAGTATTTTATTGTTAATTGTCCACAGATTTTACTTGAGTTGTATTAATTAGTTTTTAAATTTTAATCCCTATTCGCATCTGACAGCAGTGTAAACTTTGAAAGAAAAGTTCATGTTGCAAGCAAGTCTTTTTCAGGTGTATTTTTTCAAAGGCTTTGTATAAAAAAAGACAAAAAAAGAAGAAAACTGTATAGGGTTGATCGAATGAATGGCCGTCCTAGTCAGCAGTTCCGAGTCTATTCGATTTTTGAGAATGAGGCCTTATGTTGGACAACAGGGGAAGTATAAGGGATTCAAAATGGAGAGCTTACGGTTACAGAAGATATGGAACAAATTAACTGGCGACGACCTGCGTGCCAAATGATCTTTCTCTCAAAGTTTACACTGCTGGCAAATGTAAATAAGGATTAAAATTTAAAAACCAATTATTACAACTAAAGTAAAATATCTGGAAAATTAACAATAAAGGACTTTTTTCACGAAATCTATTAAGGACCCTTTTATTTCTCAAAAAAACCTGGGTAACAGTTATTCGTCGCCACACTGTACTTCTTTCAATTGGGTAATACGTAAAGTGTTCTCGATTTTCGCAAATTCCACTTCTTCTTCCACTTTTCTTTCCGTCCATTTAGACTTTATTTCTGCTAGCTTTGCCTAACTTGTGTGTTTTCTGTTTACACTTTCAGTGCACAGCTTTTTGTTTTGAGGCGTTTTCAACTGCATTTATGTGTAGTGCTCCCAAGGCTCATAATCTACAAACAAACAAGCAAATTAGAATTTTAAAATTATAAAACATTTGCTGCTACCTTCTTTTTCAGTTGTTGTATGATTTGGGGTTGGAGCACGAAGCCTTTTGCTTGTTGATGATTGTTCACGCAAGTCCATATCATCGATTACACAATCTGTGAATTGAAATATTTGCAACCGTTTGTTAATTTTCATTAGGCAGATTATGATATTTNTGTTCACGCAAGTCCATATCATCGATTACACAATCTGTGAATAGAAATATTTGCAACCGTTTGTTAATTTTCATTAGGCAGATTATGATATTTATTAATTGATGTCTTGCTACTTCAATAAACAAAATTCATTGTTCCTTCGTTTGGCTTTGCACCACTTGCTGGCTTCGAACATTTCGTTGCTGAGGATCACTTCCAACTGTTAAAGGCCAAACATACATAAACATACATGTTAGTCATAATCAGCGTTACCGCTTTGGTAATTTTTAACCAAAATTGGTTATTTTTTTCTTTCTATAACAGATTTGGTAATTTATTTTTCAAGTTGGTAACTTTTTCGATTCGGTCCTACATGTCACATAGGTCAATAAAGGTTCTGATTCCACATTAGGAAGTGGCCCGTAAGCGATTCCTTTTATATAAATACCAGGTAATCCTGAAAATTTCTCAAGGCGAAAAGGTGTTCCAGCGTTCCTTGGTTAAAAGACTGGTATGATCTATAAAACTGCTTGAAAGTGGTTATCGCTATATCTACCGTGTCCTTTCCCGAGAGGTTTTGGGTGGTCATACCTTTCCCTGTCAGTTTGTCAGCTTTGCAGTTACTATCAATTTTCCATTGTACCCGGCAACCATATAACTCATAATTATCATTTGGCAATTTGCAACTACATACCTGAATGATCCAAATCTGCAGGATGTTTCTCGAATGGTAGGAAGTCGTTGTCGTATTTGGACTCCATTCCCTGCACTTGTTTCTCCGGAAATATCTCGCACAGTAATATGTCAATATGGGAAGCAGCTGGCTCTCTGGATGGACCTCTGCCCGTTCCATAGGCATACTTTTTGTGGTCTGCAGATCGTTTTTTTCATATCTGCTTTCAAGTTCAAATACTTTGTTCGCAGATTTTTTGCTGACCGTGGTGCCCCGGAGCACATCGAGTTGAAACTCTCCGCTGCATTTTCCCATGCTTTTTCTTTTCGTAGCTTTCCACTCCAACATATTTGCATTTTTCCGCACTAGGCTTAGCAAAGTACTAACTTCATCTGCTGAAAAATGTTTGGTTCGAGCTGCACTTTCCATTTTAAACTTTTCTAATATAACACCACAATTTATTTGTTTACATAAATCAGTTGTTATTTCTACTAACATCCCTGCTTTTAGATCTTTGGGTTGCCAAATCTGAATAATGATCAAACGCAGGAAACTTAAGTGCAAAGTTAAATAAAAATTAAATTTAAAATTAAATCCGAGTTAATTTGCAAAAGAAAAAATTTGGTGAAACCGACTGTTAGAGCCACTTGCATCATGTCTGGGTAACACTTTCCGCGAGTTAAACCTAATAATCGGCGTTATCGACTTCCTGTTATAAGAATGGCGTCGGTAACGTCGATAAAGATGTGCAACTAGGAGCAAGTGTTAGCTAGACATGGTGCAAATGGCTCTTAATAGGTTGATTTCCTCTTCCTAAACTCCATAATGTTTAATACTTAATTTAAGAATGTTTCATTTAAATTGAATAAAGTTTCATTGAATCTGAAAAAGGTCTCATTTAATTTGAAAAAGGTTTCGCTTTATCTGAAACAGGTTTCATTTAATTTGAAAATGGTTTCGCTTAACATGAAAAAGGTTTCATTTAATTTGAAAAAGGTTTCACTTAATTTGAAAATGGTTTCATTAAAACTGAAAATGCTATAAATTTCAAGAACCTAAGTGAAGTCGGTAAGCTAATGAGAATATGTATGAATGTATGTACAGTCGGATGCCCATAGAAAATTTTTTTTTTGGAAATTTCAAGACCCTACCCCCTAATTTTGTTTGTTTTTATGAGAAATATTATTGCCTATTTTTATAGAGTTTTTAAAGGTCATTTCGAGGTCGCGACCTGTCGAATTAGGCCAGAAAATAGGATTTTGTAGATTCAGCAGTTTTTGAATGACTGTTTTTGATTCGAGTACAAAGATCGAATATGATATGGTATATAATAATTAAACGGTATATAATAATTTATTGTCGGACTAGGCTTGTTGGGATTTTTTATCGGGTAAATTAAAAGAAAAAACCATATTTCTCTTAATTTTTTAAATTGTGACCATAGATAATTTCTACAATTTCAAATATGGAGTACTATCTAAAATTAAATCCATTTTGAAATAAGTTGATAGCTCATTTACTGCAATCGCATAAAAATTGTCGAAGTTAGGGGACTTTTCTTAAATACAGGCTTGAATTTATATTGTGTATGTACCGGAATTTAAAATTTTTTAATCAGTGTGGCCAAGGATTTCATCAATATTTATTCAAAATTGATATATGCAATCGCTCTTTAGCAAAGAAGTGGTTTTTCAAGAAATTTTAGGAAAATGGGGGTGACACCGCCCTTTTATATGATATATACGTATCTCAAAAACTACTTGGCCGAATTTGCTACACACATTCGGTCTAGGCTTCTTAAGCGCCATATTGAAAATTTTTGAAATCGGGCTCCACCAACGTAATGGTAATTTCGAAAAACTCAAAGCTAGCTATATTTTTTAGGAGGAGTAGGTTTTGTCCGATTTCAAAAATATTCAAAACGGTACTTAAGGAGGCTAAGCACAATATATGTACCAATTTTGGTCGAGATCGGTCAAGTAGTTTTTGAAATACGCATATATCATATAAGTGGGCGGTGCTTCCCCAATTTTCATAAAATTTCTAGAAAACCGTTTTTTTACTAAAGGGAGAATGTATATATCAATTTTGAATAAATACACACATATAAATTCAAGGCCATATTTAAGAAAAGTCGCCTAAATTCGACTATTTTTATGCAATTGCAATAAATGAGGTATCAGTTTATTTGAAAATATATTTAATTTTCGATAGTACTCCATATTTTGAAATTGTAGAAATAATCGATGGTCAAAATTAAAAAAAAATAGGAGAAATATGGATTTTTTTAAATTTAGCCGATAAAAAATCCCAACAAACCTAGTCCGACAATAGATTATTATATACCGTTTTAAAGACCTATATATCCTCTTCCCATATCATATTCGAACTTTGAAATCGAATCAAAAATAGTCATTAAAAACTCATAAATCTACAAAATCCTATTTTCTTACCTAAATCGACAGGGCCCGACCTCTAAATGACCCTTAAAAAATCTATCAAAATAGGCAATAATATTTCTCATAAAAACGAATAAAATTAGGTGATACGGTCTTGAAATTTCCAAAAAAGCATTTTCGATGGGCACCCTAATGCAAATATCACATATGTATATGACAATAATTTATAATAAAAGTCATATCAATTTGTAAAACATGTTTCACCATTTAAATTAAGTAAATCTATATATATTCGTTTTTACGTTTAATATGGTTTACATTTAATTAAATTATTTCATTACAAATATTTTTTATATCCCTTCGACTTGTAAACAACAGCATTAGTTAGTATTATCAGAATAAAAAAATACAATTACGTCAAGTTTTATTAATAATGTGAAGCGAATCTTTTAGATTTCATACATTTGGTGCTAAAATTTTTCACCACTTTAAATTGCTGCACAACACTCAAATTGCCGGAAAAGCATTGTCCGCAACCCTAAGTCCTTTATAGGGGCCAAATTTGGAGAAAAAAGCTCAGTCTGATAACTGGACATACTGAGGTTCGAATTGCAACTGGCGGAAATTTTCATTTCTATTTTTTAAAAGTGACTAATCGCTTTTTGTACCCGTTCGGGTATAGAAGGGAACAAGACATCCTGGTTACTAGACATCCCGGTTTTCCAGGATTTGTCCTGATTTAAACAACTGGTCGTGGTGTCCTGATTTTGTATCTTCAGGCAAATGCCAAAAAGGTGCTTTCGCTACTCAAACAAAAGCTTCCAGAAGGGCTTTTGTAGGACGTACATACTTCTGAAGGCCTTTTGAAGAAGTTCTTTTAAAGCTGNTATTGTATATGACAATAATTTATAATAAAAGTCATATCAATTTGTAAAACATGTTTCACCATTTAAATTAAGTAAATCTATATATATTCGTTTTTACGTTTAATATGGTTTACATTTAATTAAATTATTTCATTACAAATATTTTTTATATCCCTTCGACTTGTAAACAACAGCATTAGTTAGTATTATCAGAATAAAAAAATACAATTACGTCAAGTTTTATTAATAATGTGAAGCGAATCTTTTAGATTTCATACATTTGGTGCTAAAATTTTTCACCACTTTAAATTGCTGCACAACACTCAAATTGCCGGAAAAGCATTGTCCGCAACCCTAAGTCCTTTATAGGGGCCAAATTTGGAGAAAAAAGCTCAGTCTGATAACTGGACATACTGAGGTTCGAATTGCAACTGGCGGAAATTTTCATTTCTATTTTTTAAAAGTGACTAATCGCTTTTTGTACCCGTTCGGGTATAGAAGGGAACAAGACATCCTGGTTACTAGACATCCCGGTTTTCCAGGATTTGTCCTGATTTAAACAACTGGTCGTGGTGTCCTGATTTTGTATCTTCAGGCAAATGCCAAAAAGGTGCTTTCGCTACTCAAACAAAAGCTTCCAGAAGGGCTTTTATAGGACGTACATACTTCTGAAGGCCTTTTGAAGAAGTTCTTTTAAAGCTGTTTTTAGTTTATAAAAATCATACTTCTTTTAGGAATTTAAAGATTTAAGATTCAGATCAAATATATTTTATTGAGACTTAAAATGCTTATTGAATCCTATTTGTAATGCTAAATAATATAAACGTATGCTTAAGGACGCATGCAGGGAAGCACTTTTTTCAGTTCTTATTGGGTAAGTCTTTTAGAATGGCTTCACTTCANTATCTTCAGGCAAATGCCAAAAAGGTGCTTTCGCTACTCAAACAAAAGCTTCCAGAAGGGCTTTTATAGGACGTACATACTTCTGAAGGCCTTTTGAAGAAGTTCTTTTAAAGCTGT